TTGTTGAAGATCCCAGTCCGGAGTGAGTCCCTGCTGTCCAGTAGCTGTGTCGTCTGCTTCGGCATTGTTACGACTGCTTGTCATAATAGTCGCAATGACACGTCGAATGTTGCTGATGGCTTGTATGCGGATCTCGGAGTGCTCGGAGCAAAGGCACAACAGTAGTTCTCCAATGTCTCCATCATCAATTGCTTCACTCAGCTCTTTCTTCCTCCAACGTGTGAGTCCAGTGTGCTTCTTGTCTTCGACGGGTGGCCTTTCAAGATCGACGGCAGACCTGAGCTTGGCATGCTGCTCAGCCTCTTCCGTAGGCCTTGGAACCGGCGATGTCGATGATCTATCTGAGCCGCTGAAGTCTGCCCCGGTTGCTAGCTTCAAGGCCTCCTTCGCTCTTTCTTTGCCCATTTTCCACAAGAATGCATCCTTCAGCACCTCTTTGTATGCTACGTTCGCTGATTCTACCAGTGCGTCGCGTACGTGTTCCAGTGCTGTCTCGTCTTCGCCAATCAGCTTGAGGAGATATAGAAGTCTCGACAGCCACTGAGCAATGGTATCCGCCGTGTTATTTGTGGCGGTCTCACCGCCTTTGAAGGGCCATTGTTCTACTAGTGTCATGAGCAAGTTACTAAATGGCCCAAGCCCATTTGTAGATTGCGCAGTGCGGCCACACATGACATCTAAATCATCAAAGTACTTGATAGGCACCTTGGTGAACCGCGCGCAGCAGTCGTCCAGGAACTCGAGGACGTCGGTAGAAGGAGTCACTGATCCAGAGGTTGATCCCAAACTAGCAATTAGTGCATCGAGCGCGTCGGGCGAAGTCTTGGTCTGCAACATTTCCTGGTCGTTCAAAATGTCGCTCAAGAGAGACCTAATGCCTGTATACAGTTCGCTCTCTTTTGAAGTCACCAGCAGCCTGAGAAGTGTTACGAATGGCGAGTATTGGAGTGATTCTACAACAGTCAGTAATGGCAGTCCAAAGAAGAAGAAAAACGTACTTTGCTTTTGCCACCAACGCATAGCTGGTGAAAGTTTTGCCATCTGTATCCAGTGTTCTAGCTCCATGATACGGAAAGCCTTGTCTTCGGGCGAAGCTGTGGGCTTATCGACCTCTACCAATGCGTTACACAACGGTAGCGAAACATCAAACTTCTCTTGTAGCGCAACTTGGGGTGTGGCTTCATAGTAAAGCCGCAGCAGCCTGGTGATCGATTCCCGCTTCATGTCTTTCAGACCAGGTTTCTTCAGTGCCAAAAAGACAGTGCGGATCGGCGGGCAACGTCTGCTGACTTCTGAAACTAGGCGCTTGGCTGCTTGCTCCCACTGTTTCGAGGATCTGGTGACACTGGCATTGTTGAGCTCCTGGAGGACGGCCTGTAGCTTCTGGAGCGCTACGATTAGAACTCGGATGGCGAACAGCTGGATGAGGTCGGAGTTATGGTTGAGACACTTGGTGAGCACTTGCTGATTGAGAGGCTGCGGAAGGATGCTGTTCATAAGCACAGGTACCGGTGGTGGATGGTCGCGGAAGTTCCTCTTCGCACCGAAGTATTTGGGTACAGGGAGCTGGATAGCTTGATACAAGAATGCGGAGTATCCTATCCATGTCGAAGTAAGCTTTGGATCGTAACTGAAGTCGCGTCGTTTGACAAAGTAGTCTGCCACTAGCTCAGGGCAGGCTCGAAAGATATCGACGACAAGCTCTTGGTGAAAGGTATTTGCGTATGGCCTCTGGCTCTGGATGAACTCTGAGAGAATTATGTTCCGCACTTTAACAGTCTTGCTGTAGTTGTCAACTGATTCCAGGCCCAGATCATTGCCATAGTCAGCTGCATCTTCCAGCTCGCCTTCGTCGTCATCAAAGGTAGACGGGTAGAAGCCCTGTGTTGGCAGCATGACACCATAAGCAGGGTCGGTGCAAACTAAGCGAAGGAAATCGTGAGCGAGCTGATCGGGTGCTTTCTGTCCTTCGGAAAGAGCGCCTTCCTCCACCTCATAGCTGTACAGACTGGCTATACGCGAGAGTGCCTTGCCGTTCAAAATTCTACTCTTGGTGTGCCTTGCAATAGTCTTGTCTTGGAAAACATGGCTTGTGAATACATCGAGGATTTCGTAGATGAGGAACGGCGGGTCCGCGCGGATGTGATCGAAGACGGCACGGACGACGTTGGTGTTGGAGAGTATTTCGCTCTTTGCCCGCTCGTCCTGATATCTCAAATGCATGAGAAGATACCTGATGGCCGTAGTGCGAATGCTGGGTTTCTTGACATGGTCTGCCGCCGACTGCTCTCTTCCGAGATTGATGTTCCTTCCAAGTATCTTCGGCTCGAGTGTGAAGTCTCTCTTGGCGTATACGGCCCTCGCATGCGCACCTTCATTGAACCGAGTAAGCTCTGTGAGCAGTCGCAATGCCGGCGCGATAACGCTCTCCTCCTTGGGTGCCGCTGAGGTACTTCGGACGAAACGACGAGCGACCGATGGCTGCAGCAGAGTCTTGGCCAGCAGAGTGCCGTACTCGAGAAAATCGCCATGGGTCGCAAAAACCTTGAACAGGAGCGCGAGCACAGCTGTTACCTGGGAGACAACGGCGCTGTAGTTGGTTTCGACAGCATGGTCCCACCCGTGAATCAGGTTCTGCAGGAACGTCTTTTCCTTCTCATCTTGGCCTCTTCCTTTCTGCGTGTCCAGGTATTCACGGAGAATGGCTCGCTTGCGGGGCACGTCGTGCTCATCGGTCGGATAGAGGATCGAATCGAGGAATCGCTTGAAAATACTTAGGCCTAATCATGTCAGCCGTTGGTCAAATATAGCATCTGGTCGCACCTACCACTCCGGAAGCCGCCTGAGGAACTCTGGTCGAAGTACAGCGCATTCTGTAAGTCGCGCCCAGACGTGACATCCTCGGCGGCGCCATTCGGTCGTGGTGAGTTGCGCTCGTGGGTGTCGTCAAATCGCTGACGCTTCGAGTCGCGGTCAGAGTGCGCACTCTTAGTATTGGCCTCGAAAGCCGACCGTTTGCCCATGTCTCATATCCTGTCGCAAACACGGTCGCATGTGTTCGACCTCAAAAAAGTTCTGGAAGTTCTCAGCGGGAGCATGCAGGGATTAACGCGCTAGCCGGGGTCAATGCGCGCTCCCAATCGGCCACCTGGGCAACGTCAGTCATCACTCCGCAATCCACATCTCCCACATTTCCAGCACCTCACCTTTGTCTCCTTGCAACACTGCAACATCGGCCAGTATTCGATACACGTATCCGCCCGTGTATCTTGGCTATTTGGCGTCTTAAAACACTGACAGGACGAGTCTGTGACGTTCTCCGGATGTCTCAGAGCCTAGAGCGAGGCGAATATGACCTCTCTTTGTGGCCATGGTAAGGGACATGTTGCAGGCTGCTCTCTATACAGACTTGAACAAGATTCTTCAAGATGCTGGTATGACAACGCATAGATTTGATAGCTTCAGTCAAGCCAGACTACTACTGCTGATACATGTCATCCACCGCGTCGACTACTAGTCTTTCTCACCCACAGGAAACTGTCACCGACAAACATCCATTCAAAAACGCGCGCTCTGCAACTGCGCGCCTCGAAGAAGACTACCTATTGGCGATCAACCCTTCGGCTATCAAAGCTTTAACTTCAACTCCGCTCTTGAGCGGCAAGAAAGCGAAAAGAAAAAGTCACACCCGCCAAAAGTGAAAAGGGCAAATAGAATTAATGACCGCACCCAGTCTCGAACCAGCAGCACACTCAAGCCAGAGAAAATGGCAAAAATAAACCTAGGTACGAGAGGTATCTGCTGGAACCATGCGCCCGCGGCATGATCAGCTACTTCACAGAGGCGAGAAAACTGGGACAAGCATCTGGAAGAGTGAGTCTTTGCCATCGCCCTCACAAGCCCGTCGGATTGCCATTTTTTGCTCTTTCGAAAATTCCTCAATGTTGCAGTTTAAATAGGCAGGGAGGGAACAGGTAGAGAGCTTCTGAAGGCAGAGCGATACTGCGAGCGCAAGTGTTTGTTTGTGGGGTTGAGGCAGACAGCAGTAGGTGAGAGCGCGCGATGCCAGATGCAGTGGAAAGTCACCTTTACCTCGAACTTCAACCTGATGGCAAAGCGCATAATGCAAAAGTTGAAGCTTTTCTAGTTTAACGACTGTCGCAGTTAGAGATCGTAAGAGGTGAGGAAGGAGTCCATATTGATGTAAGGACATGTTCTCTACATTTAGCAAATGGCCTCTCGTCTGACCAGCTTTCCAGGCAGGAGCGAGACTCAATCACAATGCGCAACATCGAGCCTTATGATTGAAGAACCTACTCCCTGAGAGTAGAATATATGGCGAACTTAGGAGCGATCGAATTATTGCCGTGCTGAGAGTTGATATCAACAACACACGCTTCAATTGCCAATCAGAGCCCTTGCATATAGTCCGGCGTTTTAATCGAACTGAACACATGCAGCAGCACACCACACACTTCCATTGTTCTTTCGATTGTTTTATTGTATTTCTTATCTCATCTACTTATTCCGAAGCAAAACCACCCATCTTCTCTTCCAATTACAAGATCCTAGGGTAACAAGACCAAGATGCGACCGTGACTCTATTGGGCAAACGGGAAGGCTCAACGTGTTTCTTCTAATGGTGATGGGGGATGGGACAAAGACCACGTTCATGATGGTATTGACCAAGGCAGGAAATGCAAATATGCAAGGAAAGAGCAAATGACACAAACTCCAAATATGCCGCAATGTCGCGATACCATGCAGATGATTTGAGCGATGGGAGATGAAGTCGTCATAATGGCCCGAAGCCCTGTGCAACGAGCAAAGTATGGTCCGAGATTATAACGCCGTATAAAGTTTTGGTTGTATGTTTGCCGCTAAACGAGAAAATCCGGGGTATCATGCAGCGACGTGAAAAGGGAAATAAGAGGTCAAGGAAAGAGCGAAAACAGGACAATTGGTGGATTTGGAAGATTGATTTGTGCGTGTTTTTGGCATTATCGTTTTAAAGGCTTGTGGTACTTTGAGCCGGAGCTTATCGAGTTGTTCTTCTCGCGAATCTGTATGGTCGGGGGTGGTTCTTGGTTCTTGACGGACAGAATGGCGGAGATGGCGAGGGTGATGAGTGTGAGAAGCTCTGCGGAGGCTGCGCCAATGGCGGTGTAGAATGCGACGCCCTGGAGAATTAGTTAGCGGCATGGAGGTGGACTCGGAAGGGGCGCTGTCTTACCTGCTCTTCACAGACGGCGCGGTATTGGTAGCGGCCGTTGGTCAAGACATTCGCGTTGGTACACGAGTATCTTCCCAAGCTGGCCTTGCTAGCCTTGTCCAAGAGGTTGAAGACGACCAGCGCTGTGATCCACATGATGACGCCAAAGCTGCCAGCGACGATGCGGTAGACGTCGCGCGAGCGGAAGGGCCGGCGGAAGGAGCGCTTGAAGGAGAGGGTGAGGATGGCGACCGAGGCGAGGAAGTTGCCGGCGGCAATGGCGAAGAGGATAATGGTCGGCGCCAGGTTGGTATGGGCAGGCCAGACCATGGGCAGTTCTCCTTTGCGCAGGTCGATGTAGCGATTGCCGCGGTAGATCTCAAACGTGTGCATGAGCATGCAGACGACTGCGCCGCTCAGGACGATGATGAGCAGGCGGAGACATGACCGCACCCGACTGAGCCAATGCGCCCGCGACGAGATGGCGAGCTCGAGAGGCATTGGCAACCTCTTGAACCTGGAGTCGCCGTGGTCCTCGGCCTTGGGGTACGAAGAGGAGGAGCCGACGAGGCGCGCGAAGTTGTAGGGAGTTGGCGGGGGCGGCGACGCGGCGGAGGGTAGGGTGGTGGTAGTAGTGCAAGTCTGGGCAGAGCTAACAAGACAGGTCGTCGTCGTGGATGTGGAGGGATTGGACGCGAAATAAGCTCTGGCCATGATCTTGGGAGAGGTGTCGGCACAGGCGTGGCTGCTGGGCGGCGCGCACCCCTCGAGCTGCTAATGTCGCCGTGGAGATGTGCCGCGACGAAGTGTAGAGAGAGTCACGGCGGGCCCGGAGCAGAGGACATGTGTCGGAGCAGGACGAGGTGCAATGGACGCGGCGGGAAGAAGTGGCCGTGACATGCCCCCTAGCCCTAAGCAACCACCTTAACGAGGCTGAGTCCCGCCCACGCTTGTTGAGCGCTGCCGATCGGCTTTACGTCGAGACTCTGCATGCGCCAGACGCGTCGGGTTTAGTATTTACGTCTCTTCATTCGTGCGCCGCGGTCGCGAACCACTCATGCATCCATATCTACGCCCGTCTTCTCGGCGACGTAGTCACTTGCCGTCGAGCATCGTGAAGTCGCTCAGGCAGATTTCGGGGAAGCGCCACCTGCACTAGCGAAATGATCCAGAATAGTCAGATTGTGCCTTCTTCATTGGCCCCGCGTTTCACCCACGCCTCCAGCATATATCTCCGTCAGACGGTTGCGCCTCCGTCTATAATCATCCATCGCAGCAGCACCGCAGTCGCGCTTACTTGGAGTACTACACTCTCTGGTGTGCATGCGACAGTGGCCCACTCCAAGCCCATGCCGCCAAGCAACACCTCTTCTACATCACGGGCATCATACTGAGATCACATATCCCCAGCATCGTCTTATTGAGCGTGAGACGCGCGTTCGTCGAAAAAAGGCGTCCAATGGCATCCTCGTCCCCGGCAGGGGTGTGCGGGCCGCTATTGACTCGAGTACAGTAGCCAGCGCCCAGGAACCACTTTCAAGAACACCGCGCGCAGTCTCAAACGGCCCTCTGTCCGTGAGTAGCATGTGGGAGGTTGCAATGTCTACACAGCATCGGTGCAGCAGTCAGGACCCGAGTTCGTGTCTGACCTGACATCTGGGCTGTGTAAACACCGATTACACGCCAAGCTGTCGCCCCGCATAGCCACGGACCCCACGGCAACGCAGGCAGACTTGACGTTGTCGCCTGATGCAACTATTCGCGAATGCCCACTCATACGCTCGACGTGTGCGGCATCGTCTTCCGAGGATAGAACAGCTTCCTGTTTCTGACACTCGATGCATGGCTAAAACCGTTAGCCTGCATGTGGGCCATCTGAATCAATCGCTGCAGGCGGTACCCACGTGCCTGTCGTCACTGTGCAGCAACCACGCTGTGCAAGGATGTGAAGAACTCGATCATCATAAAACATCCATCCTGCTTTGCTGGTTCCAACGCGCGCTAGCTTTGTATGATTTTGTTACTGCCCAACATACTGCACATCACACCGTAAAAGGACGGAATGAATGCAGCTTCTTCTGGCTGCTGAAGTACTACTCATTGACGCGCAGAGAACGTGTCCTTACTCTTGTCCGGTCACACACTCGTCAAATAATTCCTCAACTCCGGATGAGGCCTGCATCAGATCCTGCTTTTCCTGCTCCCAGACTCTCGCTAGTCCGTCCGTCTCGGTAGCCTGCATAATCGCGTCCAGCATAGCGACCGATTCCTGTGTTTGGCTTGTGATCTCCTCGATGTCCTGACTACCGGCCTTCTTTCGCTCTTCTACACACCGAGCCCACAGCAAACATATGCCCATCATGATTGCTGCCCTGTACTCCGGTAGCCTAGGCCACGCATTGAGCAGCACGCTTTGCAGCGCTTTCAGTGCTGAAAGAAGAAGGGGCTTGTGACTAAGTGCGAATGGCTCCTGCAGTATAGCCGAGATCAGAGGCACAAGGTCGCGAAGGTGCTTGACACAATCAATGCCCATGTGGCCTAATAATACAGGAACGTGTGACATGATCAGGGTGGCCAATTCCGGGTACGACGAGGGTGTAGGGAAATGTGCAAGAGGAGAGAGGACCCCTTCACGCAAAATTTTGTCCAAGAAGCGTTCTCGGGAGGGGCCTTTGCTGGGGTCTGTCGGAAGGAGCTGGGCGAGTGAGATAATAGTAGGGAACACTTCTCGGAAAAGGGTGACAGATTCGTTTTCCGGTGTGATGGAAGGGATGTAGGTGAACATGGGGAACAGAGCCTCAGTAAAGATGTTGTGATACCCAGTGCGTTGCAGGAAGCTTGTGGAACTCTGCACGGCTATCGATGACTTCTTCCCAGCGTCTGTCCCGATCTTCTGGTGCAGATTGTCGAGTAACAGACCGAGCATGTGGCATCCTCTTGCTTTCCATTTCATATCAATGTCGTCCATCATTTTCAGTATCGGAGGCATCAGCAAATGCCATTTCCCTTCTATCGTTTTCCGGTCGAGTGTGCTGATCGCCCATTCCAGCAAGTCCAAAGCATACTGATTCCCAGTGTCTTTCCAAGGGGCCGGTTGCCGCGAAGCTTCCAGCGCATTCGACGTGGGCTTATTCTGCGGAAAGAGAGGTGGGATGGTAAGCTGAAGAAAGTGATGTGCCAGGCGAAGGGAAAGCTCACTATCAGTTTGTCCGTCCTTAGAAGCCTTGACGGCCTCAATGGCAGCGGTGGGATCAGTTATGTCGGGATTACGTAGCTGCCAGGCCATAACGACATCGAGGGCGTCCTTCATCCAAGGGCCAGGCTTGGTACCAAGTGCCTTGGCAAGGTCTGTACCTTTGAGAAGAGGTCTGAACGTGTCGACATCAAGAATCTTGAGCTCGGTAACCCGGGCAAGGAAGCTGTCATATGATCGAAGAATTTCTAGAAACAATTAGCAATGTCCAAGGAAGCAAATTGGTAACACTGACCATCTTTTGACACCCGCTCAAGCACAATCTCGTAGACGAGGTTCATAAAGACTTGCGTCCTCCAGCTCGAGCCCCAACGACGGATAGCCATGCCCAAAGTATCCCTGGCAGTGGCATCATCTGTCGGGTTGATGGTATCCGGTCTCCGAAGTCCGTTGGCGCACCGAGCGACGACGTTGCGGATTTCCTCACTGTTGCTCAAAGCAGACGCAATGACGTCGCAGATCTTATTTGGAGCCTTGAACCCTTCGCGAGCTACTAGATAAGCAGCGAAGTAGGGTCGCTGTAGTGGCTTCTGATGAGGTATTGTGGGTGCATCCATCCAAGGCATCATGGTTGCGCAAACCCAAGCTAGATACCTCTCGTCCTCGTTTCTCAGCAAGGTATCGGGGATAGCAGCTGGTACATCGGCATTCTTCTCGATGATGGTCTCAACAAAGTTGTATGCTGGCTTGAAGTAGGCTGTGTCCGGTTCAGATAGCTCGCGGGTAGGATCTGTGAAGACTGTCCTGTAAAGGCCGAACTGGTCGATCAGCTCTAGAGCCATACGTGGTCTGGGACCCTTCAACATCTTCTCGAGCTCTATTCCGACTCTTTCACGACTGATTTTGATCTTCAAGACGTCTTGTATCTCTGCGTTGCCCATCGCCTTTGCTGTCTCCGGCTCGATCGTGTAATCAAGGCGGCTAGCAAAGCGGATCAGCCGCAGTACCCGGAGTGGATCATCCTTGAAGGTCTGGTAAGGCTCTAGTGGAGTACGGATGATCTTGGAAGCCATGTCTTTGTGTCCCTGTCCAGTAAAGTCTTCGACCTGACAAGTGTGAATATTGTAGAACATAGCGTTGACGGTAGCGTCGCGCCGCATAGCGTCCTCTTCCGCTGTACCAAATTCCATCTCTGGGTTACGAGAGACTTCGTTATATGTCTCTTTCCTCAGATTGACAAGGTCCAAGTCGATACCCAGGATCTTGGTGGTTGCGGTCTCGAGGTTCTTTGACTTTTCGGGGTTTGCCTGAATCTTGTGCAGCCCCGGTGCAATCTTCTTCGTCTTGTCGCGTCCGCTGAGGTCGTCGTTTTTGTCGATCAGACCGTGCTTTTCAGCATTGCCTGGTATCTCGAGATACTCTTGCATCTTTAGGCCGAAATGCTCACCCGTCATCTTGTTGATGGCAACGTCGATATCATGACTGCCAACTTTGAGGAGCTTGTCGCGCACCCATCCGCCAGTCCAACGCAATACAACCTTTTCCTTCGCTAGGTCTTCTGGAACCTGCTCACCAGTGACATCGCTGCTTGAGGGTGCTTCGTCTATGTAAGCAGCCACGTCCAGTAGAAGCTGTCTGAGCTTAGATTCGACCTCGGTGAGTTCCAACTGGGCTGATTCGGCATTCTCCGTCGACGCCATAGTGCCGTAGGGGTGAATGGTCTTGGGTGAGGGCCGGCCAATTTTGCGCCGTTTAGCGTTTGGTTGTTGGTCTTCGGATGGTGAGCTGGTCCGGGACATACGAGTTGGCTGTAGAGTGAGAGCAGAGAAGGTTCTGGAAAGCAGAAGCGCTCGTGATAGTGGCCGAAGTGTGGGTGCAGGGAAGTCACGTTTGTATAGTAGTGAAATTGTCCGCGTTGAACAGAGGAAGGCTCGACTCATCAACGACATCCATATGAGTCAGAAGGATTGCTGCGATGAGATTCTAGCTCGCAAAGCGCCGTAAGGACAGACAAGAAGGCTGAAGTGTGCGTTGTGTGCTATGTCTGCAGACACATGTGCGACGATGAGGACTGGCTGTGTGCTGATGGAGATGCCGCATTTCGTCCAGTCACAAAGCGCAGCGGCCGCAACCGCGATGATGCACCACCCAACGTCGTCACACTCGCGCAGCTACAAACGGGCGGCTGAGTAAAGGAGCGCTTCACTGCCGCCAAGTCCAGCACACGACAATCAGAATACATGCCGACTGCCTCAGAACTTCCGCGCGCATCCAGAACCCCGCGGGCGCAGCGCCCTAGCCTCTCATG